AAAAAGTGTTTTTGTTTTGAGGCTGATTCTTTGTCTGGACACTGACAGTTGAGCGGTCCCTCTCCCCTTCTCAGGAAACTTAAAACGATTCCATTACAGTAAACATGTCTTGCTCTCCCAAGTTGCCTCTTGTACGTACTGTGTGCATGTTTATACACAGCGACACAGTCAAAGCCCCGTGCATACAGACATCTTTTTCATTAACATGTCAGCAGTACAGTTGAGGCCTATCATTGTGACCTTTCCTCTGCTCAGCTGCAGCCTCTTAAATGCAGAGCAGTCGATAAGAAGTCCAGTGTCCTGTTTGTAGAGACTGCTGAATCACTAATATGGAGTGTGTTTTGGGTGGGGATTGAGCTGGGTTTAAAGAACGTGGAATAGTTCAGTATCACAGTATCCCTCACATGGTAGTTTATATTTTTAGATTTTACATACTGTTTATACAGTATGGGCATTCTCACGTATATGTGGCTCACATTTCAAAATAATTGCAAGAGTTAGAGACTTGTGGAGATGTTGATGTGACCAGAAACAGCGGCTTCTCTGAGTAAATGTTTGTCCTTCTGTCTTTGTAGATTAAAAGACTTGAAGCCCGTCTGAGCAACACTGTCTGCACTGACAGTGAGGGACGTGAGCGAACAGATGGAGAGCGGTGGAAAGAGGACTCCTGCACTGCATGTGAATGCAGAGTATGTTCAGTGCAAACACACACAGTATCTAAGTCTCTTATTCTTCACACTCTGAGAAGCTGATTGTGTTTAAGTATCGTCTGTGGTTTCTTTCTGTGTTGCACTCTTTGCAAGTGTTTCTGCTCATCCGGCACGTCTTGGTAGTACCCTCCTCCTGGCACCAGTGTGTGTGTTTGTGTGCACCGAGCACTTCTCTGCCTTTTGTTCTTTATCTCTGACACTTGTTGATGCCAGCTGCTGGCAGAGGTGAAGGCAGTCTCTTGCCAAACCTGATTGCCTCAGATCTTCTTCCCTACCTCCTACTTACTCTGCCATCTTTCCTACTTGGATCATTTTGTTCACTACATCTGATGACACACGTCAGTTTCTCTTTTGTGTTTCTCCTCTCACCTTCCACACCCTCCCTGTAACTGGTGGATTTTGTAATTATTAACCATGGCAGTCAGAAGCACAATCAGGGAGG